GTGTGCTGACTTTTAATACTAATTGAAAGTGAATATCAAATGAAATGATCCAATGCATATGTGAAAAAATTGTGTGTGTGTGAGTGTGTGTGTGTGTGTGTGTGTGTGTGTGTGTGAGAGAGAGAGAGAGAGAGAGAGAGAGAGAGAGAGAGAGAGAGAGAGAGAGAAAGAGAGGAGAGAGTTAGTTCATGGTCCATTCCTGATTTTTCTGACTGCAGGTGCCTGTGAAGACAAGGTGATGACCCAGTCTTGAGCTCCCTGGCTGTGTCTGCAGGAGACATGGTCAACATCAGCTGCAAGTCCATCCAGAGTCTCTTATCCAAACCACAAGGACTGCATGGCATGGCACTAGCTGAAGCTAGGACAGGTCCCAGGCTGCTACTCCCCTGGGCATCCATGTGGGGAGCTAAAGTCCCCTCGAGTTTCAGGGGCATTGGGTCAGGGACAGATTTCACTCTCAATCAGCAGCTCCAGGATGAGGACATGGCCGATTGTTCCTATAGCAGCACCGCAGTGCTCCTCCCAAGAGCCTCAGCCCCAAACCAAGCCTCCCCCAGGTTGAGGGTCAGTTTCGTACACCATCACCCTGCCTGTGCCAGAGTCCTGACCAGGGCCCAGGTCCTGCTCCTCCTGTAGTGTCCATGATCATCTTGTCCTGTCAGAAGGGGCCTGGACACTTCTGTGGTTGTCCTCCACATGCCAGGCCAGGCTGCTGCAGCTGACAGGGCCATGCATGGGTGTTCCCTCGGCTGTGGCTGACACAGTTGTGGTCCACAGCCCTCAGCTGCACCCGTTTCCCTTTTCCTTCCTCCCTTCCTCCCTCCCATCCTTCCTCCCTCCCATCCTTCCTTCAATCTTTCCTTCCTTCCTTCCTTCCTTCCTTCCTCCCTCCCTCCCTTCCTCCTTACCTCCATCTCTCCCTTCCTCCCATCTCTGCCATGTGACCAGTGCTGGCTTCATGAAAGAAGGTTTGATTCATAAGAAATTGCTAGGGAGTTTTAAATTAAAGAGACAAGACCCTTATTACCTTTAATACCTACCTGCTACTGGATGGCTTCTCTTAGCTCCTGTCTCCAGCCACCTAATGCGGTGGCGAGGTTTACAGAAGAAACGAGAGAGAGAGAGAGAGAGAGAGAGAGAGAGAGAGAGAGAGAGAGAGAGAGAGAGAGAGAGAGAGAGAGAGAGAACATGCCAGGGAGTGGGCTTTTATTAGGGAACAAAAAATTTCAGGGAAAAATCCCATCAAATGAAGGTTAAGGGGGGCAGCATTCCAAGGTCAGGGACAACGATTGGGTCTTCGGGGCAGTGGCCAGACATGCCTCTGGACAGACAAGCACTCAGACCTGGAGAAGGGTCAGGAAAGCTCTGACACAGCTGTGTCTAAGCGCCTCTCACCCAGCCAGGGAGGTCAATCAAATCACATGCGAGGATGGCCTCCCACACCCTTCTTTCCTCCCTCCCTCCCTCCCTTCCTTTCTTCTTGCTTTCTTTCTATCTGTACAGTGGATTAAACTCAGAGTTCTTTACCCCTGAGCTCTGTTGCAGCACTATTTACTTATTTATTTATTTATTTTGAGACATGGTCTCACTCTGTTGCTGAGGGTGGCCTCAATCCTGATCTGCTCCTGCCTCACTCTACTGTAACCTGGATTGCACATATGAACACCATGGCTGGCATTGAATTAGTTTTCTATTGATGCACAACAAATTAACAGAACCCCTGGTGATCTCACAATTTCTGTGGGATAGAAGTTGGGAAGACTCAGACTGGGTCCTATCCTCAGCTTCGCATTGGCTGCAATCAAGGTGTTTCTCACTGCATCTCATCTGCAGACTTGAAGAATCTGCTTCCATGGACACTAAGGGTTTTGAAAGAATCAGGTTTTGGGGATTGTGTGGTTGACGATGCTAGGTTATTGGTGGCTGTAGATCAGAGTCTATTATAGGATCCTGCAGGCCACCAGAGGGTCCTACCATATGGGCTGCTCAGTAATGAGACCAGTCTAAAGAATCCTTCCACAAGAGTGAGAGGCTGACTCCTATTTAAGGGCTCTGATGTGAATCAATCAGGCAAACCCAGAATAATCTCCTTTTGACTCACTTAAAATGAACAGCCTTGGCATGTTAAATTATCTGCATAATAATCCCTTCACCTTTCCAATATTTCCAGAATCAAAAGGAAACCTCAGGTTCTGTCCACTGTGCCCATGTCTCAGGATACTGAGTGTGAACACCAGCTATTAGGTGTCTTGAGGAGGCAAGATTTCTTATCATTTTGATTTTTTTAAAAATTATTTCTCCAAAATGGTCTCTGTTAGAAGACCATTAAGAATGGCAGCTCCTTAGGTGACGAGCATCAGAAATGTACCTCCAGGTGATTTCTAACCCAGTTTCTCAGGTCCTCGTTTTTCTCAGATTCTTCTCAAGTGAGAGAAAATTCAGATTCTCTATTGCTTTATGGGCAAATATAAACACATGAAGGAACAAATAATGTAAACATAGGACTCTCAATGTGTTTAATAGTAAAGAAAGAAGAAAAGTTTAAAACCCGTAGCCCAGTTTCTGTTTCAACAAACTAATAAAAGAAGAGCTGACCAAACCTAAATCAAGCCGAGTCAAGGAAATCAAATTATAAATATCAAATCCTGAAAGAGGTTCTCAAATGGTGGGTCAGAGGAAGACAGCACTGTCCACCTGCCCCTCAGCTCAGGATTGTCAATAGGAAGCTCTTATTTAGCACGGGGATTCTGCCTCAGAGCTGCTCTGGGAGCCACAATTCCCCTGTGAGCACTCTGCAGTCTACAGGACATTGTACTGGGAGACACAACCTGAGAGCTCCTGCAACCCACTTTGGCTGAACTTTTCCTGAATTTCATGATCTTACACTTTTGGAGAGCTCACAAAGCTTTTTGGAGAATGTCTTTCAATTAGGATGTTTCTCTACCACTCATGGTAGAAGTTAGCTGCAGCTTCTCTGGCAAGAATATCTAGAAATGATGCTCTTCTGTTAGCGCTCCCTAGTGGATGGTGCCTGATTTCAATCTGTCTCACTACTGCAGATGTTCACATTGATTCCTGGGTTAAAGGAATATTTGAGACTTCTCTCCTGTAGTTCTTCTTTGTCTATTTGAAATGAGCATGAGTCTGGGGGTGTGACTAAGTGGCAGACCACTTACCTAGCATGCCCAAGGTCCTAACTATGATGCATCTCCAACAATAGAGCTCAAAAAGAGTTAACATGAAATTGTTGAAAAGTTCCTCAATCCTTTATAGATATCCCATTCCTCATCAAAGTATCAGTATCAGGCTGAACTCATGGATCATCTTTTATTTAATGGGTTAGTTTTCATAATTACAAATCTTGATTTTCAAGTTATACAGACCTGGCCAGTGAGAGGCTCCTTCCTCCTTCCTTCCTCCTTCCTTTACTTTTGTCAGGGTCTCATCATTTTTGGAGGACTTCTTTTGTTCCCAACTCAAGGTGGTTCAGGTTTTTCTTATCCTAAGATTCCTTTAGTGGCAAATAAGTCTGGTCACTGTGAGTGCGTGTTGGGCTATTGTACCTGGGTTAAAGAGAATGTGTAAATAACTCTCAGTCAACCCGTTTATGGACCTCAACATTTATCATCTCCTGATCTACCTGCATGCACACTCCTATCTATTCCTACATACAATTCTGAGTTTATTCGGATATTTCTGATTCTAGTCAAAATCGTGTTTGTTTTAACAATGTCCCTTTTTGTTTGGGATCCCTTCCACCTTCAGTGAGAATTGTGGCTCTGATTGTCTCTGGTGCATTGTTTCCCACCAACATTCCTATGACTGAAAGCAACCTCTTGACATTGCCCTTCCCTCCATTAGACAGCCTCATGGCCACTCGTGAATGTACCCTGATCCTGCTCTGATACCCCTTGCCAGGGCACATCAATCTTTACACACTGGTACGGATGCTGTATCAATTGCCTTTTGTCACTCTGAAAAGAACCTGGGTGTAAAACACTTGAGAGGAGGAAAGAGATACTCTGGGTCATGGTTTCAGTCCATGATCAGCTGGCTCCAAGGAAGAAGTGTCATGGCGGAAGGGCTGGGTAGAGGAATGCTGCTCAGCCATGGGATAAGGATGGTACAAGGAAGGGCTCAGGGTAAAGAAGCACCCTGCAGGGCACAATCTCAGTGACCTCCTACTTCCCACAGGTTCTACCCCCAAAAATCATTTAAATCATTCATTCATAAAATGGATGAATACCATAATGAGGTCTTCACCCCATGAGACTTTGGGGGACTCTTCATATGTAAGCTGTAACAGAAACCCTCCTCTCTCTGCCTATGTCCCCACGTGCACACTGGGACCACACTGCAGTGTGTCTTCCTCATCATGCTCCACATTTGACCTGGAAAGAGGCCTGCACTAACACCATCTGCATGAGATGACACCCTCCTCCCCTTGCTTCAGTGTCCCCTCCAACACCCAGGTGACCACTTTTGCTCCAAGGATCTTCTAGCCCAGCCCTCTAACCCACCTTTCTCCTCACCAAGCATGTGCCCCAGCCTTGCTCCAGCCTCTGGGACAGTGGTTTCTTAGGACCTGGGTGATATTTGGTGACAGAATAAAGACAGGTTAGGATATAGGGTAGACTCAGGGCAGAGGAGGGACTGGTCCAGGAGACCTGGATGAAGGGACAGCAGTGGCATATGGTCAACGTCCTTCCCTTCCTTACCAACCTCAGTGCCTGTACTTGGTGTTTTGTGTCCCTTTATGTTGCTTCCTCTTACCGCCCTTTGCATTTCTGGCTGGTAACACTGATGATTTTTCATGCCCAGGTCTTCAAGGAGTCAGCTATAGAGGAAGCCTCTCTGGAATAAATACTGTGCTCAGGTATAAAAAGGATGAGGTGAGTAACTCCTCCTGCAGGGTGTGGGGTGTGTGGGGCTGTGACAGAGCTTATGAACTTCGTCTTGGTTGGAGAGTGAGCAGGAGAAGTGTGTCCTGAACCTTGATGAGACCAAGAGGTCTCTCTGCTCACAGGAAAGAGGGATGATGGTTTTCTCCTGTGCCTCTCAGGAAACACATTTTCTCCAGGCAAATCTGGGCTGCCCTGCCCTATGCTGGAACACCTGGGGACACATGGCCAGGCCTTAGAGCAGCCTTCCTGCAGCTGTGCCCAGCCTGCCAAGCTCTGTTGATTTGCATGTGCCCACAGCACAGCCCACTGCCCTGAGGACTTCTTAAGAGACTGTTCAAACCCTGTGCAGGAGTCAGTCCCTGTCAGGACACAGCATGGCCATGAGAGCTCCTGCTCAGCTCCTGGGGCTTCTGCTGCTCTGCCTCACAGGTAAGGAGGGACACACTAGGGATGTGCTGAGACCAATTTCATCAGTGCTGCCTGGTGTTCAGGGAAATCCTCTTATGACATTATTAATTGTGTGCATATTTCTTCTCATGTGTTCAATTGTAGGTGCCAAATGTGACATCACGATGACCCAGTCTCCAACCTCCCTGTCTAAATCTCAAGGAGAAACCGTCACCATCAGGTGCCAGGCCAGTCAGGGCATTAGCAATTACTTAAGCTGGTACCAGCAGAAACCAGGGCAAGCTCCTAAGCTCCTGATCTATTATACCAACCGTTTGCAATCTGGGGTCCCCTCGAGGTTCAGTGGCAGTGGATCTGGGACAGAGTATTCTCTCACCATCAGCAGCCTGGAGCCTGAAGATGTTGCCACTTATTACTGTCAACAAGGTAACAGTTACCCTCCCACAGTGATACAGGCCATGACAAAAACCTCCCAGGGAGCAGAAGTGTGAGGCTGGGCTGCCCCAGCTGCTTGTCCTGCTGCCTCCACCTGCTGAGGGCAATGCTCAGGGGCAGCCAGCATCCCAGGGCCACTGAGGGGGGGTCTTTCAAAGCCTCGAGAAGTTCCTCTGTACCCTGTTTCTTTCTCCTTGTCAGCCCGAGCACTCAACCTTGAATTGGTGTCTTTGAAGGTGTGTGCACTACTTAGTGCAGTAGTGCTCCACCCAACAATGGTGAGAAGAGAAAGGAGGCCAATCAGGAGAACCACCATGATGAGTTCTTATCCTGTGGTATACAGGAACCTGGTGCTGAGTGAGCTCAGCCAAGATGCCCAGGGGAACAGAATTGGTGTTCAGAGACAAAAAAATGAAGACAGTTTTTATGACAAAGATGACATTACAAAAACCAATCCATAAAATTGCAACTATATTATATTTGATAAAGGGTCTAAAAGCATGCAATGGAGGAAGGATAGCATCTTCAACAAATGGTGCTGGGAAAACTGGAAATCCATATGCAACAAAATGAAACTGAATCCATTTCTCTCACCATGCACAAAAGTTAACTCAAAATGGATCAAAGAGCTTGATATCCAATCAGAGACTCTACATCTGATAGAAGAAAAAGTTAGCTCCAATCTACATATTGTGGGGTCAGGCTCCAAATTCCTTAACAGGACACTCATAGCACAAGAGTTAATAACAAGAATCAACAAATGGGACTTACTCAAACTGAAATGTTTTTTTTCTCAGCAAGAGAAACAATAAGAGAGGTAAATAGGGAGCCTACATTCTGGGAACAAATCTTTACTCCTCACACTTCAGAGAGAGCCCTAATATCCAGAGTATACAAAGAACTCAAAAAATTAAACAATAAGAAAACAAATAACCAAATCAACAAATAGGCCAAAGACCTGAACAGACACTTCTCAGAGGAGGACATACAATCAATCAACAAGTACATTAAAAAAATGCTCACCATCTCTAGCAGTCAGAGAAATGCAAATCAAAACCACCCTAAGATACCATCTCATTCCAGTAAGATTGGCAGCCATTCTGAAGTCAAACAACAACAAGTGCTGTCGAGGATGTGGGGAAAAGGGTACACTTGTACATTGCTGGTGGGACTGCAAATTGGTGTGGCCAATTTGGAAAGCAGTATGGAGATTCCTGGGAAAGCTGGGAATGGAACGACCATTTGATCCAACTATTCCCCTTCTCAGACTATTCCCCAAAGACCTTAAAAGAGTGTACTATAGGGATACTGCTACATCGATGTTCATAGCACCAAAATTCACAATAGCTGGACTGTGGAACCAAACTAGATGCCCTTGAATAGATGAATGGATAAAAAAAAATGTGGCATTTATACACAATGGATTATTACTCAGCATTAAAAAATGACAAAATTATGGCATTTGCAGGGAAATGGATGGCATTACAGCAGATTATGCTAAGTGAAGCTAGCAAATCCCTAAAAAACAAATACCAAATGTCTTCTTTGATATAAAGGAGAACAACTAAGAACAGAATAGGGACGAAGAGCATGAGAAGAAGATTAACATTAAACAGTGATGAGAGGTGGGAGGGAAAGGGAGAGAGAAGGGAAATTGCATGGAAATGGAAGGAGACCCTCATTGTTATACAAAATTACATATAAGAGGAAGTGAGGGGAAAGGGAAAAAACAAGGGGGCGAAATGAATGACAGTAGATGGGATAGAGAGAGAAGATGGGAGGGGAGGGGAGAGGAGGGGGGATAGTAGAGGATACGAAAGGCAACAGAATACATCAGACACTAGTATGGCAATATGTAAAACAGTGGATGTGTAACTGATGTGATTCTGCAATCTGTGTATGGCGTTAAAATGGGAGTTCATAACCCACTTGAATCAAATGTATGAAATATGATATGTCAAAAGCTTTGTAATGTTTTGAACAACCAATAATAAAAATTAAAAAAAATAAATAAAGACAAGGACATATGTTTCAAAATAAAACTATATCTTATAAAAAAAGAGTTGCCCTAAACTTATTGAAAAGTTCCTCAATCCTTTATAGATATCCCATTCCTCATCAAACTATCAGTATCAGGCTGAACTCATGGATCATCTTTTGTTTAATGTGTTAGTTTGTCCTAATTACAAATGTTAATTCTCAAGTGATCCAGACCTGGCCAGTGAGAGGCTCCTTCCTGGTAGTTTCTCTTTACTTTTGCCAGGGTATCATTATTTTTGGAGAACTTCTTTTGTTCCCAACTCATGGTGGTGCAAGGGGTTCTTATCCTAAGATTCCTTTAGTGACAAATAAATCTAGGCACTGTGAGTGCATGTTGGGAGCATGGGCTATTGTGCCTGGGTTAAAGAGGATGTGTAGATAACTCTCTCAATCAACCCCTCTATGGTCCTCATAATCTATCATCTCCTTATCTACCTCCATGCACATTCCTATCTATTCCTATATACAATTCTGAGTTTATTCTGATATTTCTGATTCTGGTCAAAACCTTGTTTGTTCTAGCAATGTTTCTTTTTGTTTGGGATCCCTTCCACCTACAGTGAGAATCCTGGCTCTGATTGTCTCTGGTGCATTGTTTCCCACCAACATTCCTCTGACTGAAAGCAACCTTTTCACATTGGCCTGCCCTCCATTAGACAGCCTCATGGCCACTCGTAAAAGTACCCTGATCCTACTCTGATACCCCTTGCTAGGACACAACCCACTTTACACACATATACGGATGCTGTGTCAATTGCCTTTTGTCACTGTGAAAAAAAACTGGGGGTAAAACACTTTAGAGGAGGAAAGAGTTACTCTGGGTCATGGTTTCAGTCCATGATCAGCTTGTTCCAAGGCAGAAGTATCATGGTGGAAGGGCTGGGTGGAGGAATGCTGCTCAGCCATGGGTCCAGGAAGATATGAGTAAGGGCTCAGGGTAAAAAAGCACACTCCAGGGCACAATCTCAGTGACCTCCTCCTTCTCAATAGTTTCTACCCCCCAAAATTCATTTAAGTCATTTGCACATCAAATGAATAAGTATCATAATGAGGTCTTCCCCCGTGAGACTTTGTGGGAACCCTTCACATGTAAGCTGTAACAGAAGCCCTCCTCCCACTGCCTATGTCCCCCACCTGCCCACTGCGGCCACACTATATTGTGTCTTCCTCACTGTGTTCCACATTTGACCTACACAAGGCCTGCACTAACACCATCTGTATGAGGACACTGTCCTCACCTTGCTCCAGTGTCCCCTCCACCACCCAGGTGTCCTCTTTGCTGCAGTAGCGTATTCCAGCCCAGTCCTCTGACACACCTTTCTCCTCACCAAGCATGTGCTCCCAGCCTTGCACCAGCCTCTGGGACAGTGTTCTCTTAGGAACTGGGTGAGATTTGGTGACAGAATAAATACAGGTTAGAAAACACGTTAGATTCAGGACAGAGGAGCAGCTGGTCCAGGAGAACTTTAACTTCTGAATCCAAAGCTCAGGTGGAGCTGGGGGAGGTGCACACACATTAATGAGAGTATCTCAGGGAACACATGTCCTGATGGGTGAAACAGCCTGCAGACAGCCAGGGAGCTGACCTTTCAGGTGTGGAAGGGCCAACTCCTGACCTTGGATGCCAAGGTCAGAGGAAGTGTTGGAGCCTTCAGAGTGGAGCAGGATCAGAGCTTAGCTGGGATGAGGGACAGCACAGGCACATGATCAATGTTCTTCCCTTCCTTACCAATCACAATGCCTGAACTTGATGTGGTTTGTCCCTTTCTGTTGCTTCCTCTTACCCACCACCCCCTTTGCATTTCTGGCTGGTAACACTGATGATTTTTCATGCCCAGGTCTTCAAGGAACCAGGTGTAGAGGAAGCCTCCCTTGTAGTAAATATTGTGCTCAGGTATAAAAAGGAAGAGTTCAGTCACTCCTCCTGCAGGGTGTGAGGGCTCATGAACCTTGTCTTGGTTGGAGAGTGAGCAGGAGAAGTGTGTCCTGAACTTGATGAGACCAAGAGGTCTCTCTGCTCACAGGAATGAAGGATGGTTCTCTCCTGTGCCTTCAGGACATACATTTTCTCTAGGCAAATCTGTGCTGCCCTGGCCTATGCTGGGACACCTGGAGACACTTGGCCAGGCCTGAGAGGACCCCCCCCCCACTCAGCTGTGCACAGCCTGCCAAGCCCTGCTGTTTTTCATGGGCCCACAGCAAAATCCACTGCCCTAAGGGCTTCTTAAGAGGCTGCTCACACACTGTGCAGGAGTCAGTCCCTGTCAGGACACAACATGGACATGAGAATTCCAGCTCAGCTCCTGGAGCTCCTGCTGCTCTGCCTAACAGGTAAGGAGGGACAGCACTGGGGATTTGATTAGACCAATTTCATCAGTGCTGCCTGGTGTTCAGGGTAATCCTCTTATGACATTATTAACTGTGTGCATATTTCTTCTCATGTGTTCAATTGTAGGTGCCAAATGTGACATTACAATTACCCAGTCTCCAACATCCCTGTCTAAATCTCAAGGAGAAACAGTAGCCATCAGTTGCTGTGCCAGTCAGGGCATTGGCAATGGATTAAGCTGGTACCATCAGAAACCAGGGCAAGCTCCTAACCTCTGATCTCTTATACCAACCGATTGGAATCTGGGGTCCCCTCGAGGTTCAGTGGCAGTGGATCTGGGACAGATTATTCTCTCACCATAAGCAGCCTGGAGCCTGAAGATGTTGCCACTTATTACTGTCTACAAAATTACAGTTCCCATCCACAGTGACACAGGTCATGACAAAAACCTCCCAGGGAGCAGAAGTGTGAGGCTGCGCTGCCCCACCTGCTCCTCCTGCTGCCTCCACCTGCTGAGGGCACTGCTCAGAGGCAGCCAGACTCTGAGGGCCACAGCAAGGTATTTCTAGGCCTGGAGAAGTTCCTCTGTACTCTGTTTCTTTCTCCTTGCCAGCCCCAGCACTCAGCCATAGATCAGGCCCACTGAGTGGGTGTCTCTGAAGGTGTGTGTCCTGCCCTGTGCAGTAGTGCTCCACCAACCAG